AGACTCAAGTTTGAGACTGTTGACTTAAGATAAGGGAACAGGGGGCCCAAGTCTACAGGATGGGATGTACAAGGGCCACTGGGACCAAACAGTATCACCTCTGTCTTCTTTTCATTGAAATTCAAGAAATTTTGTGCCCTCCAGATTTTGATTTCTTCCAGGCAGGATAGAAGTGGTCTTAATGAGAAAGCGTCTTTTTTGCTCAGTGGGACATAGATCTGACAGTCATCTGCATAGCAGTGGAAGGAAATACCATGTTTCCTTAAGATGGAACCTAATGGGAGCAGATACAGTGAGAACAGCAGAGGCCCCAGAATTGAGCCCTGTGGAACACCACATGACAGGGGAGCAGTGCGTGACTCAGAGCAGCCAAGGCTGACACAAAAGGTTCTGTCAGCTAAATAGGACCGAAACCACTCAAGAGCGCTACCGCCAATGACCACCAAGTGCTGCAAACGAGTCAGCAGAATAATGTGATCCACCGTATCAAATGCTGCAGTTAAATCCAGTAAAACTAGACACATGTAGTCTCCAGTGTCATTTGCCAGGAGGGTGTCATTAGAAACGCGTAACAGGGCTGACTCCGTGCTATGCATCGTCTTGAAACCTGACTGGAAGACCTCCAAGATGTTATGAGAAAAATTTCAACTGCATGCGCACCACTTTTTCCAGAATTTTTGAAATGAAAGGCAGTTTGGAAATGGGCCTGCAATTTGACAGCACATCTGGATCAAGACCAGGTTTCTTGATCAAGGGTTGGACCACAGCATGTTTAAACTGTTGGGGAACTATACCAGAAGAGAGGCTGCTGTTGATAATGGCCAAGACTGATGTACCAATATTCGGGAGAACTTCCTTAAAGAAATGCGGGGGAAGAGAGTCACAGGGGGAGCCAGATACATGGTAAGTTGGTTTAATGCTCTAAATTGTCCCTCGGTGTGAATGTGAGCGCGGATGGTTGTTCGTCTCTGTGTGCCCTGCGACTGGCTGGCAACCAGTTCAGGTTGTCCCCCCGCCTACTGCTCCAAGTCAGCTGGGATAGGCTCCAGCTCGGCCGCGACCCTGTTCAGGATAAGCAGTGTTGAAATTGGATGGATGGATGGATAAAAGTAAATGCTGTCTGTCTCGTATTAACAATAATTGTGCCCTCCCATACATTTCATGTGCTCCCCTTCAGGCTGGGCCCTGGTCATGGTTCTGGTGTCTCCTTTAAGTTAAAGTACTTTTTCACAAAAACAAATCAAATGGCTAACTTCCCTGGAAAGTAAACTGAGTCAAATTTACAATTTTACACAAACTGCATATCTAATTGCTATAAGAAATGTTTTTACCTGTAGTTGTGCTGACTGCAGGGCTGGAGACATTTTTCTGCACGCCATAAACTGGAGGGGGGTGGGAATAATTAAATTGTGCGATAAGGGAAGTAGTAAAGATGTTATTTAAAAAACAATGTTCCTCACATCATTAATATACTTGTGTCTGAATTACATATGGTAAAATCTTGATAATATCTCAAGACTCAATTGCTTTACCTATTTCAGTGTTTGTTCCAGCTGGAGAGATGGTAGCAGGAGGGCTGGTGGTACTGATGAGGTTATTCTGAACACCATACACTGGCACTGATGGACCGAAAAAAAAAATAATAATAATAAACCACTTGGTCTTATACTTGAAGTCCTTGGTCTAGGATGAATCATGGCAGAGTTTTGACCAGAAAGACTGACCAGTGCTGCTGACAGATAGTCCACTGTGCACAGGGGGAGAGCTAAAGGCCATATTCTTCTGAACACCTCCTCCGCCTCCTGCTACTCCTCTTCCTCCTCGCCCACCTCCTAGATGTAGCAACATCAAACAACAGATCAGATCCTGTTAATTACTGTAAAATATCAAAACACGCAAGGATCATTCATGCAAGGTGCATTATATTATGTCTTAAAAACTACAGCAATAGTTTGTACTGTACGTACTTAATACTGTACACCAGGGATGTCAAACTCATTTTTGTCACGGGCCACTTTAGAATTATGTCTTCCCTCTGAGGGCCGAGTAAACCGAATAAATGTTTAATCATCATATCATATTATTACCTGTACACACAAAAAAAAAAAAAACGGTATCATTGTTCAAGTGAGTGTAAACCGGGTCACAAAGTTCTTGCAAAATGTCACAGTTATTTATTACAGATGACAATTTGAAATTTTGGTACAGATTTCAGCAAGGGTCATGGAAGTTGACACATTTGATTTGCTTTCGCGGGCTACATAAAATGACGTGGCAGGCCGAATCAGGCCCCCCAGCCTTGACTTTGACACCTGTGCTGTACATGGATTGTTTTCTAGACCAGAAAAGTCTGACCCAATTAAAAAAGTATTCTATTAAAAAAATTAGGCACCAAATACATGCCAATTAAGGGGGACCGGTGTGAAGTGAAAATATCAACGTGCATAGGTGCTTGTTATAAACCAACCGTATATTTATCACATGGGATGATTCTCAATGTGTTAAGAGTCTATTTCAAGAGTGGGACAGCGGCGCTGACTGGTCAGTTATGAACTGTGATAGCCACAGGGATATGTTATTTGACTGACCTGAGTGGTAAATGGTAGATGTGGTGGTTAAGTTGTTGGGGTTTGTATTGTAGCTGTAGCTGCTGTTAATACTTCCAGGCCAAACACCACCATAGGGATCTGGAGCTGTGGACAGACCTAGTGTGAACACGACAATTCGTAAGCATAAGAACTCTTGATATTTCTTCTTGTGGTGGGCAATATTTTTTTATTTAAAAACAAAAACAAGATGAAGGAGCGAACAGTCTTATTGAGTGTCCTCCCCTGAATCCCAGAAAAAAAAGTCTGACTTCTGAAATGAATGCAACATTTCTTGGTCACAGAAAACTCAACCTGGTTTTGAGACGTCTGTCCCGATCCTGGTGTCCAGACTGGTGATCTTGGGAATAATCAGCGAGTTGTTGGTCGACTGAATAGTGCTGGTGCTCTCAGATACAATCCTAGTGTCCACACTGGACTTCTTGGGGATGAGGAGTGAGTTGTTAGGAGACTGAATGGTGCTGGTGCTCTCAGACAAGGTTCGAGTTTCTACAATGCCCTTCTTGGGAATGGGCAAAGAGTTGTTTGTGGACTGAATGGTGCTGGTGCTCTCAGACACGGTTCTCGTTTCGACAGTGGCCTTCTTGGGAATGGGCAAAGAGTTGTTCGGAGACTGAATGGTGCTGGTGTTCTCAGACTGACTTCCTCTCAGCAGACGCTTCACATCATCCAGTTCGGTCCCTGCCAAGTGCATGGCAACAGTTGATGTTCAGTCAACAAATACGAAAAGACTACAAGTGACCGTGTTGTATCTGTGGTCATCATCTTCACATGAACCGCGGTACTCACAACTTGCTGAAGGAGAAGCGCTCTGAAGCCTGGCTCGAATCTCACTCTCTGAAAGTGAAAACATCCAAAATTGTTTGAATGTTATCACCAACTTTCACAGTTTCTTAAAGCCGAGTGTAAAGAAATGTTAAGTCTGTCAAAGCTCACAGGAGCCACACACGTGTCCTCCAACAGGATTGCCCAAAACTAAAAGCTGAAAATATCCAAGAATTGACTTTGAACCAGTGGGATTTCTCGCCAACTGCAAGGGAGGCTCAACCACCACCCCCCAAAAAAGTGTCAAATATGCATTGCTGTGTCTACATTTCGTTGACTGAATATGTGCTAGAAAAGGGGCGCTCTACCTTTTTGTGGCCATAAGATCTATTTTTAAGCCAACCAACCTTCGCAAACGAATGTTATCGCACGGGCACGCATACGCACGCACACACACACGCATGTCCTGATGAGCAACAGCTATAACGGCCCCCTACACACGAACGAAACAGAAAAATAAGGTTGAGAAAAAATAAGTTTTGGCTTCGAGAATGTGTTGACTATGTCATGCTTGGCACATACACGCCAGGTAATAAGTGGACAACAAAAATGTAGGACAAAATAATCGTTGGGGTCTGAGGGCACTGGGATTTGAACAACACAGCCAGCTTCCAACACAAGCCAAAAAGGAGCAGGCGTAAGCTCACAGGCGTAGCTGGTAAGTATTGGAAGTGCATGGACTTGTTTACAGCTGTTGAAGCAAAATAGCAATAGTTTTAGCAAAATCTTCAGCCACCTAAATGATTGTTCGTGCCTTTTCTCATTTGTGTCAGAGAAGGACATGTAAACATGTAAATATTACATGTCATATTGAATGTTTATAATTTTTGGAAACAACTTTTGGGGTTTAAATTATTTTTTTCCAATGCATTTTCGCTCTGGCGGAGATCGCCTGTAGAGTAAATATACACATTTTTAATATATAGATGTATTGCTCCATCTTCTGTTGAAATCAGTGATCGAGTACAGTATTGTTTTTTTCAAACTCGCTGATTGCCGATTGGCCCCCAAAATCATGGTCACGTAAAGCCTACGTTTTACTGGTCTGTAGTCAACCTCATTAGTTGATGGCCACCCTTTTCCATATAAAATCCAAACCATTCAATTTATTTTTCTTTTTTTCCACATACTACCATTTTGCTGCTTTCAGAAGCGCATGTGTACCTCGACTCTGAGATCTCCCTCGTGTGGTGGAACTTGACGGTACCTTTAAGGAGCCTAAGATAAAGGAGAAAGATTGGCAGTTTGATTACATTAGCAGCCACCTCAGAGTTTTAATTAAGTGATTCACTGTGACTCACCATACTCCTTCCTGGAATACTCAGGAGATGAGTCTGTGCCTGAACTCCCTGAAACATGTCCACACATCAAATGTGTCTGTTCATCATCTCTTCTTCAATTAAATAACTGATGTATGAAGTGATAAATCTTGAAGAGAATGCAAAATATGACTAACCGTCAAAAACATCAGCGTTATTTCCTGCCATGGTTACCATGAGCTTCCGATCCTTCAAAATAGGAGATGATGCTGTGTAGGTTTTGGACACCTTTGTAAAGGTGACCGTACCTGGACTCCCTTCTCTCTTCTCTTCAAGGGTCACAAACCCAGACGACGTGCCGGAGGACCCAAATCCGGAGCGTAACCCCGCCACTGAACTCATTGTGGCGTTTGAGGCTACTGGATTCCCTCCGCCTGATGAGACGGCCAACAAAGGTCCTTGGGTGGTGATGAATTCGCCTCTGGTGCCTTTGCTGATCCAAACAGAACTGGTTTTGCTTTAGCAGAGTAGGAACAATTACCTAGAGGTAAAAAGAGGATAGAATGTTCTATCATGTTCTTAGATTTTGATTCCACCATTGACAAGACACAGCCCAGGGCTTAGGATGACTGATAGTGTAATTATTTGCCAATTTCAAGTTCAAACCAGCACTGTTCAAACCAGTTAATAGCCATGTTTTAAAACAACACACTTTTCTTTGTTTTACCATTTTTGTCTGGTGTGCCCGAAACGTGTTGGGCTTGTTCAAACGATATAAAGTCTCCAGAGTCATAGACATAAGTGCAAACACAAAAGTACTACCACGATTACTGCCCAGGGTAAGAACTGTATTAATTCCCAGCCCAAAAAATATTTTGCTGTTCTTTAACGAGGACTTGAACAGTAAAACTCACAACAAGTCTTGATGCGTGATAATGCAAGATTTCTCTTTACAGAAAAAGGTTAAAATGTGTTAGTAATATACAGTATCTATCTAATTCTTTTGAGCAGAGATTAAAAGCTTCAACAATGACGGTTGCATGAAACCCGAAATCATTTTTAGCAATTTTTTTTTTAATCGATTTGATCTCAGTTTTGACATTATTGATATTCTCTGAGACTGTAAGTCATGAAGAGGTGACACAACATTGTACTGTATGTCACAGTGAAACATGGGTGGCGAGGCTCAGTGGCAGAGTGGTCGACTCCCGACCCAGATGTTGGGGGTTCAGTCCCCAGCCATCGCGACGAAGTGTCCTTGAACAGGATTATGATGCTATGTCATCCTCAGGTAAATGAGGAAACAGTGCTTTGAGTACCAAGAGTAAAAAAGCGCGATATAAGCGACAGCCATATACAATTCAACAACAACAAAATGGGTCGCATGACAGAGGGAGCGAGGTGCACAAGTATGACGAATACAGCCTTTCCCTTTTTAAGATGAGAAGAAAGGACCTATTGCTGTTGGTGTTGCTTTTGTCTGGCTGTTATCATACAAAAGCTACATATGACCCTTAATATTTACAATACTTTATTTTCCGCACTATAAGGCGCACCTAAAAGCATGCAATTTTCTCAAAAGCCAACAGTGTGCCTTATAACCCGATGCGCCTTATATGTGGATCAATATTCTGATTTCTTGGACATAGTATGTTAAATGTTCTGTAAAGCGCTTTGTTACAGCTGCAGTGGTTGTGGAAGCGCTATATAAATTAAGCTGTATTGTATTGTATTACCTTTAGAGTAGCTCCACCTAGTGGTAGTGTAGCTCCCCCTAGTGGATGCATAATGCAACCACAGCCAAGGCTCCACATAAATAAAGCTGCATTGTATTGTATTGTATTGTGTTGTATTGTATTGTATTCACTTTAGCATAGCTCCATCTAGTGGGTGCATAACGCAACCGCAGCCACTATTGTAGCTTCTATGCGCCTTATAATGCGGCACACCCAATATAGGAAAACCACTTTAAAATAGGCCGTTCATTGAAGGTGTGCCTTATGCTCCAAAGCGCCTTACCGTGCGGAAAATACGGTAATCATAATTCTTAATATAATTAGAATTCTGGTTTAGCGTTTGTTCCCAAAATCCTGATCACAATTTATCTGCTACTAAAGTCCGTAAAGTTACAAATAGACATGATTTCTCAGATGATATGATGATACACTCCAGGAAAGGAAAAGCCTCTCCACATACCTTACATTGTTTTGTTCTGGGAATTATTCGGTTCACTCCTGTTGTCATGTGTGCTAACAGAAACACTGTGATCATATTTCACAAGCATCACTCCAACTCTTTTAGACCTCTTGTCCGCCAATCAATGGCATGAGGCACGTTGGAAAACAGATACGCATGCACAGTTGCATCTCACTTTCCCTGGTAGAAAATCAGATGAGTGAACCATTACACGCTACCAGGGGGACAAAATATCCCTCACAGTAGTAGGGAAAAATGGTTAATTCATATTTGAAACATAGCATCATATAAATTTAAAAACATCACTGAATAATACCATTAGCTGAGGGAAACGTTTCACTTTTTGAATCATTCTCAGACTGGTGTCACGATACTTCTTCTGCATTTGTGACTCCAGGCAAAAGTTTTTCAGTAGGGAACACGCTCCGCATTAAAAGTATTCACCACAAGCTGGAAAAGGGTGCGGCTTTTTGTTCACTTCAGAAAAGTGCTTCAGTTCAAACGTGGTCCAACACTATTTGGTAACGAGTGTTGAAACTTGTCTGACGTTTTAAGTTTCCGTCTAACCAAGAAACTTGACTATGCAATACACGATGTTGTTTAGATATATCCTTTATTTGTCCCACACTGGGGAAATTTACAAATTTCCCCAGAAATGTATTGTTTCATCCTGTTTTAATTTTTTTCAAAAGTGCTGATGCTTTTTTTTAAAGTTAATGTCATGTGCATGAGAGGCTTTGCATGCACATATACAACAAGAACAAAATTATTTTTCCTTCATATTCTGGTGTTTTATATCTTCATTTGTGCTACAGTGAATTTGTCACAGTAAAACTCCAAACTTGCCGGACTAGACATGCACCACATGTGACGGACACAATGAAATATGGTTATTGTTGCTGCTCCATAATTTAAATAAGCCAAAAATTGCATCTTTTCAACATCTGTATACATGGGCATTTTTGTCTTTTTGATTTCAATTTCTTTTTTCCCAAACAGTCCACAGCCAAGTCACTCACATGCATAAATCCCCACGACCCAGAAAATATCTAAATATAAGCAATGGCTCAAAGCGATTGCTTACATTTTGAACTTAAGTTGCAATTCTTAAAAAAAAAAAAAAATATATATATATATATATATATTTTTTTTTTAAAGTGTAACTGGAAATGAGCTGAACTGAGTCAGGACAACATGAACAACACTCTATAGGCTCCAGTATGATATGCCTCTTATGCATATGTCAATTGAAATAAAATCAGCATGATTGTAAAATTAATTTTCAATTTATTGTGGGCTGCAATTGTTTCATTATTTTGAAGCGCAGGTCAGGCTTTTCAACCTCAGAAACAACAGAAGTGCAGACAATAAAGTGCATTCACATGTATCTATATGTATCAGAATGAATATTAAGCAATCCTTATGGCTTGCAGGCAAAATAAATAAATAAATAAAAGTAACTCCAGTCTTACCTCTCAGATAATTTTTCCAACAAATGATTATCTTCTCAGGTATTAAGTGCAGGTGCTAAAGAATATGGTGTGCTCTTCCTTGCAAATGTCTGGCGATTTTATGTATAAGTTGTGTGACTCATACCTTCAGCTGACAAGTTCGAACAAAGTAGGCAGAGGGGGCGGTTACTTCACCAGCACAGGAAAAATAGCCCCGGGCCCAAATACTGAGAGCAAAATGCTAGTTTCAAGGATGTGAAAGTGAGCAAACATTGTTGTTCTGTGATTACATGACTGAGATTTAAAAACAAATTTAGATGAAGATTCTTTATCAATCAAGCCAAGTATGCTGTTTTTAAGAGCAAAGGTGGGGAAAATACGCAAAGGGAAAGAAGTGTGTGGAATCAACAAAAACGTGCTTTGCTGCTGTCGATCGTAAAGGCCATTTGATTTACAATTTCACCACTGTACGTGCACGTTTAAATTTCTAATTTTAACTACTTACAGTGGGTATTACATCATAGACAGCTACATCATTACAACAAACTGAGGCGCAGATCACTTTCCAAAAATGGATTTAGCAGCATGTCCAAATTTTACACCTTGTGAAACTTTACAACATTGGAGGATTTGATTTGTTTATTTGGGCCTCCTAATGGTAGTGAGGCGTGACTTGTCCACACAGTGCCACCTAACAGAGACGACTGAGCTTCTTGTTTACCTTTTCCAAAATCAGGATCAGTGCTTTAAACAAAGTACAACAGACGCGCCACCCGTCGTTGCCAGAACATGTCATCTCTAAATCATTACATTCATTCAAATTCTCCAAAGTAAATAACGTGTGAGTCAATATGGATCCGTACTCCGATATGCATAGTAGTTGTGAGTCAATATGGATCCGTACTCCGATATGCATATAGTTGAGAAACGTATGATCCATCACTGCTGTTTAGGAATATGCTGCTGTCAGAAGGTAGTTAAGACCGTCACAAATGAATTCTTCATCCTAAACACTCAATCCAGGGATTTATGACTTCTCAGCATTGTTTTTCAACAGGTAGCAGATTTTTCTTTTTATTTCATTTGAAAAATGATTGCTTGTCTTGATGATTTTACGCTATTCGCTGATGGCATATCATTATATTGCTGGCATGTTTCTGTAGTATGTCCTTATTCTGAAGTATAATGCCTGAAGGAATTTCATGAGAAAACAAAAATCTGTCTGTAATTATATACACATTCCGATGAAACTTTGGAGCCACAGTATGCGCAAATGTGTACTGACTCATATAATGGTGCTATTCAAAACCAATCCAAATTACTGAATCTGATTATTACATCAAGTTTTCTAAAATCAGTGTAAGAGAGTTGGCCATCTGAAAACATGACGTTTCTTTGCCTTGAATTACTTTGGGACTATTTAGGGTCACAATCTATCTTTATTATCAGATCAGTTGTACAGCGTTTGTTTGAATGTGATCAGAAAGTATAGCCACTTACTGTACACTCACCTCCAAAAGTATTCCAACAGCGAGGCCAGTTCGTTTATTTTTGCTGTGGACTGAAAACATTTTGGTTTTACATCAAATGACAGCCATGAAACAAGAGATCAACATTGCACATTTTATTTCCTGGCATTGCCATCTGGATCTCATACATAACTTCGAATGAGGATAGGCAAGTGGCGGCCACAATCTGGTTGCCCTAAAGTTGTTACAATATTTATTTATTTACCAATTTTATTCATTTATGTATTTATTTATTTATTTATTTATTTATGTATTGATTTATTTATCTACTCATTTTAATTTATTTATTTATCTATTTAATTATTTTGTGTGCAGTGGGGATTATGAACATGTTTGCTCTATTATAGTCTATTTTCACATACTCATGACTCGCCACTGGTGGATTCACTTATGTGTGGATTTTTTTTTTTTTTAACAATTTTTGTTTTGGGTTATGTGGGGGAGGCAAACACATGGCTTTCATGGAAAATGTATATTGTACGTAAATTCCGGATGACAAGCCGCTACTTTTTTCCCACACTTTCAACACTGCGGCGTGTAATATGAAGCGGCTTTTTAAATTTTTTTTTTCCATCGTGGGAAAAACATGGACCAATAAAATGAATGAGTCTTTCACTGAGGTCCAATGAGATTGTATGACTAATCACAATTTCCGCTCTTTTGCCGTAGCGGGGGAAAAATATGTTACCCGGCAACAGTCGACCAATAAAATGAATGAGTAGTACACAGGGGTCCAATGAAATTGTATGATTACCGGTAATCACAACTTCCTTATTTTAGTCTTTCTTCTAACCCTGATCAACATGGAGAATACCAGACGAAAAACATATGATGCAGCTTTTAAACTAAAAGCGATCACTCTGGCAGTTAAACAAGGAAATCGAGTTGCTACCCGTAAATCTTGGCATAGACGAGTCGATGGTGCGAAGATGGAGGCTCCGGCAAGAAGAACTGAGCCAGTGTAAAAAGACAACCAAAGCTTTTAAAGGTTTTAAAGGTGGGCCGTCGTGGTGTTATAGATTCATGAAATGGAAGCCTGTCTATTAGGGCACGCAAGACGATGTGTCAGCAGCTCCCTCCCAATTACGAGGACAAACTTGCTTCGTTCCACACATTCACACAAACAAAGATAGCGGAAAATTCCATCAGCCCAGATGAAATAATAAATATGGACGAAGACCCTCTGACATTTGATTTGCCTCTCACTCGGACTGTAAATAAAAAAGGTGACTCCCCCGTCATACTGAAAACAAGCGGCCACGAGAGAACACATTTTACCTGAGTTTTGTGCCGCGCAGCATCGGGCCTAAAGCTGCCAACGATGGTCAATTTTATGCGGCTGACTATAGAAATAATTTCATATATCTTTTCCCATTTGTATGATTTGCATTATTCTATTTAAAGCCTAGTGGGCTGCAGTATTTCTCCTTGTAATTACGCAAATGCGCATCAAGATCTCCCTTTGTCTGGCCTCTTATTTTGTGTTTCAACGTAATTTCGTTGTGCAAATGCATTTATCATGCTCATAAAAATATGGAGATTATTTTAACCTTAAGAAATTTTGCGTTTTTTTTCTTCGGGGGTCCAGCGGGGGACCGCGTCAGCGGCCTCACCCGGAGGCGTTCCAGGCGGCAGGGACGCAGAAGCAAACCCTCGCCTACTCATTGGCCAGCGGTTTATAGTACGGTGCGGCGCATATAATTACAAAATTGAATTTTCTTCATAAATCTGAGCATGCGGCTCTTAATCAGGTGCGGTCTGTAGCCCGGAATTTACGGTAGTTTTATCAAGGTTTTTTTGAAGAATTTATTTAAGGTTTACAAAAATTAAACAAGTTATTAAACAAGTAATTATACCTGTTCTTTATCCCCCGTGAACAGCAGTTTATTGTTGGGGATGGAATGTTTTTGGTTATTTCTGGATCATTCAAACCCTTTCCTATTGATGGCTGGATCTTTCATATGTGCATTGAGAAATGGAGAACTGAAATACCTTCAGATACTATGATGTACATTGTGTCAGGAGTGGTTGCCAACCCAGTTGCAGGGAACTTGGGAGGCCGGGCAGGAGCACACTCAAAAAAGGAATTTATTGTCAAAATAAGAAACACACAAACAAGGTATGTGGATTAATCAAAGCTAGTAAATTAACAAGATTGAAACAAACAAAAGGATAAGACTCAATATGACATGAGGACAAACAGCAGACAGCAAACATAAACAATGAGCCAACAAGGACTGAAAGAAACCAGTGAACGAAATACAAGCAAACTGATGACGCAGTGAGGAATACCTGCACAAGACACGAGTGACTCAAGGAGCTGATTGGAAGACACGAGCCACCGGGTTGAGGAACATCGGTGGAAACCAAGACCTAATGAACAGGACAAGACATGAACCATAAGAAAACAAGACATTCCATGAAAGAAAACAAAAACTGGTCATGACACATTGATTCAGTAAAAAAACAGACATATGCATAAATTTTGTCGATATTTAAAATAGCATTTTTTTTGTCATAGATCTTGTTAGGAAGTGTGTGGTCCTCTGTGACCCCACCTCCTCCCCAGAAGTACTTAAGAAAAATTGTGGCCACCGCTTTATTTAAGTTGCCCGTACCTGAATTAGAAGGTGGCACCATAAATTTGAATCCAAAAGCTTATGAAAATGTGACGGATAGGTTTGATTTATTGCCAAGCTGTGTTCTCATACGTTGATTACATTTTTTTTTTTTTTTTTGGGTTCCCATCTGTGTCCCACAAAAGCTTTTCCTCTTCGTTATATCATCGACTCACCTTCTGTGAGCAGTTAATCTGCGGCGGGGCCGGCTCATCGGTGGGTGGGGCCCTTTGCTTGGCTGTGGGGGTGGCGGCAGTGCGGCGCCTGTGTCCTGTGCTTTGATGGGGCTGGCACAGGTGTTGTCCTGCCTGCCGTGCCCTTCCCGGGTGGATGGATAGACGTGAGTCCGCCCATCCTGATTGTGCCTGCACAGCAATTCCAGTCCACTTCTGATGACTAACATGTATTAGCGATGGTGTTGATTCACTCGCATGTCTTGATAGACAACGCCCGTGGGTTTTAGTCGCTTGGTGTGTGGCCACTCCTTAATCGCTAGACAAAACCCTTAGAATTTCAGTTTCTACAGGTGTTGACTGTTTAGGTATTACACAGGCAATAGTTCCCATTTAAAAAAAAAAAAATAATAATAAATGAGATAAATATGAATCTTTGCCTAGTAAGTTACTAAGCTTTGACAAAGAACCAATCTTCTAATGAATCCAGCCAAACATCCATGCTCTCCTGTGAAAGTCAGTGGAGGTTGGCTTCTTCCTTGATGTAACAATTTATACTTTCATCGGAGACTATTGCGGTTGCTCAGTTGTTTCAGTCTCCTGAAACAACAAATGCTTGATAAGAGTCATTCTCAAACTTGGGACTTGGGACTACCACCTACAGTACATAAATACTGAGCTCTCCAAGTACCACCATATTGAACAACATTAAAATACAGCAGTATAGTAGGCCAAAGTGTTCATCACAAATAAGGCATAGTTTTTAATCCTAAATGTTGTATCTAACTATCTATTCTTATATCTATTATATATAACTATC